ACTGACCAGTATCATTGGCATCACCTGGGAGTTTGTTAGAAATGCAGGATTTTGGGTCTCACCCCAGAACTATTAAATCAGAATCTGCTGCTGCTTCTTTTTTTTTTTTTTTTTTTTTTTTTTGGATAGAGTCTCGCTCTATCGCCCAGGCTGGAGTGCAGTGGTGGGATCTCAGCTCACTGCAAGCTCCGCCTCTTGCATTCAAGTGATTCTCCTGCCTTAACCTCACAAGTAGCTGAGACTATAGGTGTGCACCACCATGCCTGGCTAATTCTTTGTATTTTTAGTAGAGACGGGGTTTCACCATGCTGACCAGGATGGTCTCAAACTACTGACCTCGTGATCTGCCCACCTCGGCCCCCCCCAAGTGCTGAGATTACAAGCGTGAGCTACTGTGCCTGGCCCAGTATCTGCTTTTTAACAAAATCTCCAAGTGATTCACATGCACATTAACTCTAAGAAGCACTGAGATAGAGATGAGAGAGTATGGATTCACCCTGGGTTTATTTGTCATAATACTGCTCATAACATGCTGGGAGAAATAAAGAGGAGATGTTCTGCCCATGATGTTCTTTAGCACCCAGACTCAATGTATTCCCCCCTTTTTATCTATAACTTAAAGCCTTCCCCAAATGATTTGTAATCCTCTGCACTCACTGGTAATTCCATTCCAAACCCCAAATGCATTCTCTTTTATGGTCAACAATGTCAAAACCCTATAGTATATATTCCTCTTTATCACATTTATCTCTTAACATCTTGCAATCAAAATGGGTTCTTCTTGACAATCCAGTCGGGTTGGTGTAATTTTACAAATTTAACACATCCTATACCTATTAACAGAATATAACAGACATGACATTCCCAAGTGAAATCACCACCTCATAAAGAACTTCAGGCTGGGTGTTGTGGTTCACATCTGTAATCCCAGCACTTTGGGAAGCCGAAGCAGGTGGATCACTTGAGGACAGAAGTTTGAGACCAGCCTAGCCAACATAGCAAAATGCCTTCTCTACTGAAAATATAAAAAGTTAAGCCAGGCACAGTGGCTCACGCCTGCAATCCCAGTACTTTGGGAGGATGAGGTGGGTGGATCACGAGGTCAGGAGTTTGAGACCAGCCTGGCTAACATGGCGAAATCCCGTCTCTACTAAAAATAAAAAATTAGCCGGGCATGATGGTGCGTGCCTGTAATCCCAGCTACTCAGGAGGCTGAGGCACAAGAATTGCTTGAACCCGGGAGGTGGAGGTTGCAGTTAGCTGAGATCACACCACTGCACTCCAGCCTGGGCAACAAAGCAAGACTCTATCTCAAAAAAAAAAAAAAAAATTAGCCAGGCGTGGTGGTGCACACCTATAATCCCAG